TGTGTGTGTGTGTGTGTGTGTGTGTGTGTGTGTGTGTGTGTGTGTGTGTTATGGATTTACCAGCAAGAAACAGGAAAACGTGTCATTTCACAAGTCAGCAGATTTTAAACTTATGTACCTGAATGTGGATATCATCTCACCAGAAATGAAGCTAATAATTTAACAGTCTGAAATTAAAATAAGTTTATAAGAATGATGTAGTCACTGTTATTTATTTAATTGGTTAGCAGATATTAGCTTCTATAGCAGGGCCATTCAACTAAACTGCTCTGGGGGCCACAGTTATTGCAGGTCAACAACACAGGGACCGAACATCCAGCAAAGTCATTATGTAAATAAACCAAGTATTACAAAGATCTGTTACATTTGAAATATTTTATTTTGCTACATTTAATCATAAATACAATATACAGAACCCTATGTAATAAAAGTAGTGATAATAAAACAACAAAAACAAATATAACACAGTATGCCTCCTATTTGACACAAATATTATTTTGACATCTCTGACTTGCCAAATTTTTAAACCCAATTTTATTTTAACTTTCAGTTTTATCTTAAACCGCTTGTAATTTTAACTGTCTTGAGTGGTCATAGAAATGGTTTTTACCAGCTTCTAGCCAAGATTCTGATGTTTCTGTACATACCACACGTCTACGTTTAACTAAAATAACTTAGAGTAATTAAAGTAGAAAACTGGGTGTTTGGGCTTAAAAGGTGAATGTACCAATTGGCGGGCCAAACTTTGGTCACTCGCGGGCTGGATGTGGCACACGGGCCGCCAGTTGAATAGTCCTGTTCTATAGCATATTGCAGAGTGTAGCACTCTACTGAATCATGTTATAATTTAACACAAATTATTAAATATTACAAGTATTGCCTCTGATTTATTTATTATTTACACAGTGTAAAATAATATTATATATTTGACTGTTTTAGCTTTGCATTACACAAATCTGACCTGTCAGTCGGTTAGTTTTCTTCTGCTTATCCGAGATCGGGTCGCGGAGGCAGCAGCCTAAGCAGAGAGACCCAGACTTCCCTCTCCCCAGCCACTTGGTCCAGCTCTTCTAGAGGATTCCCAAGGCCATAGTCCCTCCAGCGTGTCCTGGGTCTTCCTCTGGGCCTCCTCCCAGTGAGACGTACTCATAATACCTCACCAGGGAGGAGTCCAGGAGRCATCCTAAACAGATGCCCGAGCCACCTCAACTGGCTCCTCTCGACGTGGAGGAGCAGCGACCTGACCTGTTGAGAAGATAGTTAACCAATATCAGTAGAAACAAGTGTCTTCCTTCATCACCAGGTATGCAGTGGGCATTTCCTTTGTGTCGACTAAACAAAAGGTAAATGATAAGTATACGTTATTAKAGTTGAAGTCATTTTTAAACTAAAAAATCTAAGTTATTGACTGACTTCAGCTCTAGTTTAGATCATAATTTATATTTTTCTCATATGCCATCTCTGTTTTACATGAATGCTAAATAATTAACAATTCTATTGATTTATTATAAAAACATTTCAAATATATTGTGACACGGATGTAGTTAGGCTTGCTGTTAATCAAATAGTTGTTTTGAAAGCTGTGAGCTGTTGTCCTGTTTGGTCGCCATCTTTGTTCCTCCATGTTGTCACAGTGGCATCATGGTATAAGCAGGGCTTCCTCTAGTGATATTTAACTCTATGGTTATAGGCCACTCCAGAACACTGTTTGAGTTTGATAAGACAGTTTTTGCATATCAAGAAATAATAATAAAAAAATATTTAATCCAGGTTTTAAAATAGCAATGCACTTATCTTTTACAAATGCTTTCAAGACTAATATTTTGTTGCAGAATAAAATCAATGTTTAAACTCTGTCTTGAATACCTGAAATTTTGGAGAATTGATATATTAGTTAATTTTTTTGTTATTTATGTACTTTCTAACAAAGAATAAAAAAATAAGTGCAGTTGATAGCGAAAACTTTACAATTTGTATACTTAATCTTAAATTATCCATAACCATGGCATATGTGGGAACATTTTAATAATTCCGGTTCAAAGTCCTGTATCAGATAAAAATACTAGTTTAACAAAAAATTAGGGACATAAATCAGATCAGAGAATCTTTTTGGGGATACCCACAAATTACCGGTAAATCAATGAAACGTGCACAGTTCTTGTTTATTTTATATTTTTAATGTAGCACCACTGTCAATCTTTTTTCTTATCAGATGCAGTACCAAAAAACATCAGAAATGTTTCCTTGTATTTTTTAAATAAAATTAACAGATTGTTCGAAAGTTTTCCACCTTGGTATTTAAATCAATGCTGTATTAAAA